CTTTGCTACCCATGCAGGGAGGGAGGCGAAAGAGGTCTTTGGAAGAGTAGGAGGAGAAGTTACACTGAAGCCCACTGTGAGCCAGCCAATCTCCATCATCACATGGAAAAGTGGCCTGAACAAAGCAGCAGAGTGGGTAAAAGGTCAATCAGAGCCTGATTATTATACCATATGTAAACCCGGACCAAGGTGTCAACTGAATACTGCAACTGGGGAGCTTAAAATTATGCATTTAAAGCTGAATGAAAAACTGGATTTATCTGCTGAAATAAATGGAATGGCAGCTCAGTCATTTACAGTGATTGCACTTGGTAAGTAAGATTATTATTTTAGGTCAGTTTTATTCTGTATACTTGTCCATATTTCAGTAATCAGTTTTGCGTATCTTGGAATTTTTTGCATTTTCATTTAATTGTGTCTTTACACCGATCTACAGAACCAGTGTCCAAACCCAGTGTCAAGAAAATCTGCGAAAATACCCAGTGTACTTTGGTCTGTGAGGGAAAGGACACCACATATACCAAGTACTCCTGGAAGGAGAACAATGAGATGATAGTAGGAAATACCGCAATGCTCCATGTTGAGAAGAGTGATAAGCTGGATAAAAGCTACACGTGTGTGTTCAGCAACCCTGTGAGTACGGCGGAGAGTGACCCTGTCAATTTCCTGTGATTTATTTCCAGGTCAGTCACTCAGAAATACTCTTATATTTTAGTTTTATTGTACTATATGGTGTTCATGTACTGAAGTAACATTGTATTTGTTCCATAGGTGGCTTCATAGGTGCGATCATCAAAGGTGTCGTTTCAGGATTTTTGCATATTTTTTAGGTTTTTCATGATACACATTGTTGTTCTTAGAGGTGTCTTCCAACAGTAACCATGACTTTCAGAATTTTTTTTTTTTAACTATGGAAAGAATGTGATCATTTGCAAAATTATACTAAATCTACCTATTGTCATGCATTAAAATACATTTATGATTTTTTTCCCCCGTTGGTAACATTTTTGTAGGTGTAAATTGATTTTTATTTTCAATTTGTTATAGAAAAACTTTCACAATGGCATGAATTGCACTTTTCTGTCATTAGTACAAGCTTCCTATTATATTTGTTTTCCCAGGGAGGAAAATACATGTATTGTAGGGACTAGTTTGCTGTGTCTGCAGACGTCTTCCTATTAACACGATAACTGAAAAAGTCTTTGACTTACCCATAGAAAGGTTTACTTGTCCTGTTTTCTGCATTTTAGAAAATGCGTCGACATCAATATTTTAATATATTATTTTTTTTTATTTTAATAAAATTACCTTTAAGATTTCTAAAACATTTCAGTTCATTATAACATATATTTTCCTTTAATATCACTGCGTAATTATGGGAGTACTTCACATTATCACAAAACAAAAAGGTGGTTTTACACTGTGCAGTGTGATGCCAAACCACAGCGGCATTAGCGCTGTGCATGACCACCTGAAGAGGAACCGCACAGGCGCTGTTCTGGATGATGGCCGGACCGCTAGAGTAGACGGAACCACCCTCAGTGCAGTCAGTTCATGTTCATTAAATTAACATTAGAACAGAGTATGGAATATTATTTCGCACTATATAACGTAGAATATAAGTATTATGATCTTATTAAAAAGTATGCCAAATATGCATGATGTAATCATTACAATGTAAACATTGTGTACACACAGTGTAATCAATTCAGTATGTATTTGCACCTTGTATTAGCCTAAGAGTTTTTGTTTGCTACTTCATGTTAGTTCTGAATCTATGAATATACACTTTTATTACTGTATACTTTATCACTATGTTAAAGGACAAATATAATATCAACCCTTTAGTTAGTCAATGTGAAACAGGCTCAAGCTGCCAAGGTTTACTACTGAAGGAAGGGATTCGCCTGAGTTCACTAGAAGTTCACGACTGAGCAATTTTAAAAAACCAAGTAGAGATGGTCACGCCACCATTATATTCAGCCAAGGGACCAAACAGTAAAAGAAATGATGGACAGACTTATCACCTAGGGATGTGGATTAAGGGAGAAAACAATGATTGTGAATGGTTGAAGGAATGATGATGCTCAAGTGACGAGATATTGTTGAATGATAAGAACTTGTATAAAAATTAGTGTAAAACAGTATTGGACACACACTCCTGCAGGGTGTCCAGCCTTGGCTGTAACCCCGCTGTTGCAATAAAGACTGAATCTGAAGATTTACACAAGCGGCTCCTGACTCCTGATTGGGAGGGAAGAAAAAACCACAACAGGAGAGCTTTTTAATATCTTTTGTCCTTGTAGCTGCTAAATACTCATTACTAAAGCCATGAAGTTGCCTGCCTGCTACGTTAGAATCTTCATTGAATAAGTGTTTATGAAAATGTTTAGGCTAAAATCTGGGCTAATTCTATGTTGACTGACAGTGTCAGTGTGTAAGTTTGTGCACATTGGACTTGTTGGGACCAGTGTTGTCATTGTAAACTAAAACTGAAATGAAAATGGACAATAAGTATATGAAAATAATTCCTGAAGTGAAATAAAAATTAAAACCATACTTCAAAAAAACATGTCCGACTGCAAAAAGTATCACCGCACCACCACCATCTTTTACCTTGTTTAACCACAGTATCTCCTCTTTTAAAAGATGTGGCTGCTGATCAGTCCCTCCCTTTATCATGACTTCAGTGCTTATCGCTTCTGCTGCGTGTGGCGTGCTCCAATACCCAAATTTATTAAGCATGGAAATGCGCCAAATTTATACAGATTACTAATGTTGAGGGGTAAAGTGTCGAGAGACCTGAGGGTCGGGCAAAAGACAACAAAAACATTCAAAAAAATTTGGGATCGGAGATTTATTTTCACCTCATGTCATGTTCTGGCTCCTCCCATTAAGCACACCAAAAACAAGAAGAAAAATAAAGAAAAAAAAACCTCAAAAGAGAACTAATACAAATAACTATCAAACAAAAGAAAGTACATGCAACAGACTTAACTGCAGCCTTTAGTCCCCACACAGCTGAGGATCTCCAACTCCGAGAGCACACAAGTAGCTGGACCCAAAAAAACCTAACCCTTCCACCATCTTATAAACCCTTGTCCCCACCCCTCTAATTGGAATCTACCATTCCCCTCTGGTTACAGGGGTACCATCCTACCACAAGGGACAAAACGGCAGTAAATATAAAGACTCTGCGTAGTTTCCACATGTGTGCGCCCATCTGCCTCCACTCCTGCCGATCCTGCAAACAAAATATCTTGGGAGAAAAATACCAAAACAATAATTCACTATTGCAGTAAAATGATACCACTGTCCCCTTAAGATAGTGAGGATGCTTCCATACTTCCATCCTTCAGTCGCTGGTCAAACTCCTCCAAAACAATTTCTACTGTGTTTAGGTCAGGAGGCCAGGTCATGTGATGTGACAGTATCACCTTCCTTTGTAGGAGGTTTGGCCCTGAGGAAGACAAGTGGCAAGCCGTAACCAGGGATGGTTGACAGAAGCATATCCATTTCTTCAGTGAAGTTTTCTAGTAGGCAATAAATAACAATATGCAGTTTGGCAGGGGGGATGATGGTAAGAACATAGTATTCAAATGAAAAGTAGCTACAAGCAGGAGAGAGTGGGCCCAGCCCGACCCAGAGAGAGAAAGTGTGCAGATAGTGCAGCTGGAGTGGTGCTGTTCTCCAGGTAGGATGTGAAGTGCTGAATGTGTAGCAAGGGCAGGAATGACCTCAGCCTTGTTCACAGCAGACTGACAGGTCCACTATCCGACATTAAGGGAGATGAAGGCAGAAGTAGCAGGAATACTGCAGAGGTTATGAGGGTTGTGTGTCCCTCTGTGACAATGGCAAGAGAGGCTCCGACAATTAACCAAGGGGATATACTCAAAACGCGTATCAGACAAGCAATGGGAGAGGATGACATGCTACCTAAGCGGGTGAAAACATCATCTTGTGTCCTCGCTCAGTGGACTTGTGCAGGTAGACTTGCTGGTCTTTATACAAGAAGGATCTTCACACAACAGGTGCTTCTCACAGGGCCGATGCCTACAGTGATGCCTGAGCACAGCTGATGTATTGATGATGCACCTCGCTAAGTGCTCACAGCTTAGGGCAGCAGTTTCAATAAATAAAACAAAGGCTGACAGCAGGGCCTTGGAGCACCAGAAACCAAACGCAAATTCACTTAAAAGTGCTCCTGAATCCCAAACTCCTCAATTCCTCCATAACTAATCACCAGACAGAAGGCAA